CATATATATAATGTTGTTGAGAGAGAGAGAAAGAGAGAATATCAATGTTCGAGGATAGGTTTTAGGTTTCAAATGTTGAAAGCTTGCAAGTTTTATTTCATTTTTTTATGATTCCCTTGCTTCATATAACTTTTAAATTTAAACAACAGTTCAATCACATCACCTAGAAGACTTTACATTCTACAAAAGGACAGATGAAAGTTGATGGCCTTAAAGAGTGGGAGTTGGGACCTGTATTGGAATGAGGAGCTATTGTATGTACTGGATCAGGAGTACAACATAAGGACATACAACAATGAGTCTAATCTAGTTTATTTTTTAAGGGAGGAGCGCTCAGGTTTTTAAACTTACTACAATAAAAATCAGGATCTTGAGTAATACCTGTACATTTCTCATTAACTCATTTAGCCACTGCAACAACCTGAAGTGATACTATGCCCAGTTGTCTAGTCAATTTGATGATATTATTTGCTGAGAGCCTATTATGTATGGGGGCTCTGATCCAGAAGGAGGACATAAAGCAATGAAGAAGCATCTCAGATCAGAACCTGGCCTTCATGAAGTTTGAATACAGCAGCTTCGTTCTTATCTTTGCCTCTGAGACAATTAAATACATGTCCCCTCAGTTGGGGATTCATCCTTTTTACCTGGTAGTAATGATATGTTCCAGGATTACAGATTTATAAATAAGGATACAAGATATTGTACATAAAAAACACTTGATAAATGCCTGGCAGACAGTAAATGCTCAACAGAAGCTAAGTATTGTTAGAATTGTGTTATTACAATACTAAATTTCATCTCCTTTCAGGTACATTGAACTTCATCACAAATTAAATTCCACAAACACATTTTAAATCTATCATGGGATTGATATACTGCCTCACAAAAACTATTGCGATAGTGAGGAAAACCTCTTTAATATTTTCTAATTCAACTCTCAACACTCAGTGACACTGAGCAAGCATCAACTTCTTTAAATAAGCCACAGCCTCAGCTTCCTCATATGAAATATCAAATAGGGCTGGGGGTATAGATCAGTGGTGAAGTGCTGATCTTGCATGCAGGAGGTCCTGGATTTGATTCCCAGAACCACCAAAAATAATAATAATACCCATTTCATTCAACTCCTGCCAGCAAAAGTGGGCAGCAGTGTGGGTGTGGGTATGGGGGGTTATCAATAAATATTAGGTGTAGATATAACTATTATGACTCTGAAAAAAATATAGGCTAAAATTTATGCATGCTTTCACTGGAACTGGTGTACACTTGTCATCCAAGTGATTAGGGAGGCTGAGGCAGGAGTATCACAAATTTGAGGGAGGCCATCCTCAGCAACTTATTGAGACCCTATTTTGAAATACAAAGAACTATGGATATGGCTTAGTGGTTAAGTGCCTCTGGGTTGAATTCCTGGTATCAAAAAAAAATTTTAATTATAAAGTTTATGCATACTTTCAAATGATGTGAAAGACTAAAAATGAGATTTTTACTGTCAAATTCAAAATTAGGCATATTTAGACCACTGAAGAGAAAAAGTAGAAAAAATCATATTTCTGCTCAAGTAAAAGTGTTTGCAATGGCAATTTTTTTATTTAAAACTATATTTTTCCACATTAATATCTGCTAGATTTGCAGAAAAAGTGAAATGAGAAAATGTTAACTGGGAAGTTTTGTAAAATTATGAATTATTTAAAAGCAGAAAGTACTTAGCATACAATTTAAATGTATGAGAAATAGAGTGAATTCTTTCATAGAGCAGAGATTCAGCTATGAAATAGGTTTATGATATAGGGGGAAGTGTTCTATTTGAAAACCTTGGTTCCCTGGATAAACATACACATATATGCACATATCTATGTACTTAAGTGTATGCATACAAGCATAATTCCTAATTATTTTAAGGAAACGTACAGGTTAATCATATTAGCACAAGTTAACTTACTTTAGTAATGTTACAGGACTGGAACCTTCTGGGAAACCAAAGCACTGCAAAGACTACCCTTCAAACCACAATTCTTGTGATCAAGTTGAAAAGATTTCAGGTATCACTCAATCACTCAGATTAACAAGCAATGGGTTTATTAGAAGGGATGGTAAAGGGGAAAAGGGAACTCTCTCAAGAGAGAAAGTGGATCCTCTCCTAAAGAACAGGGATCAGCATGCTTCTCTAGCACTCCAGTTTTATTGGGGATCCCAGAGGGTTCCAAAGAGTCTTGCTCTGGTTCACTTCTCTCGACTTCTCTTGACTTTTGATTGACAGCAGGATAACAGATATCCAAGTCCCCACTGCCATGACAACTTTAGGGCACTTTGGCCCATGCTGATGTGTTCTAATTGGATTCTTAATGACAAATTCTTAAGGTTAGGATGAATTAGCCTTATCTTCCTGAGTTCTGATATCTGCTGAGAAAGGGTCATAAAAGTCTTCCCCTTCAGGGAAACTTGTTACCACATTATTTCCGGCCTGTGTTTCTCTTGTAGATAACAGGTGGTTTGCTGTGGAATGTGACATATCCTGTCCACTTAAGCCAGACAGGGTTTCAGGTAAATTGCTTCTTTGAAAAACAATCATGTGGGGGTCAGCACAGTGGGCCCAGCTTATAGAATTATTTCCTTAACCTTGTGTACCCACCACTCACATCTGTCTATCCCCTATTAGAAACATGTATAAATTATTGTAGGATTAGGTTGAGTTTTTCCTCATGAAAAAAACTATTGGTAGTTTGGGGACCAGAGCCATGAAAGAGAATTGATTCTTGTCCTCACGACTCAGGAGATGGAAAAACTGGCAAGTAGGCAAAGTAGAGTTATCTAAATAAATACTTATTTGTCCACTATGCGCATCCAAGGCAAGGGCCTCTTTCCAGTTGACATGCACTTTATGAGGATAGCAATCTCTCTCCAAGATATTAAAGTGGTGTCGGTCAACACTGAGTTGGATTATCACTCTTCATAAAAATTCTTCTGGATGAGGGTTTTGCGTGAGCACAGGTTTTGGTTCCCTTTTCTTTCCTGAGGCAGGCGCCTTTTCCTTTGCAAAGATGGCGGCCCCTGGATGTGTGCCCCATTGATCGCCTCAGGACAAGGGGCCTGCTTAAATCCGAGGTATTTCTTACATAGCACACAACACACAGGACAGCATTTACCCTTTAGAAGCAAGGAAAGGCGACTTAGGATAGCCCCGAGGTAGAACCTTTGCCAAGATTGTGGCCGCGGAATGTGCTGGCGTCACCGCTCTTTACCAAGATGGCGGCGGGCGGCTTCCGGCATGCGCTTCCTTAATCGTCTCCAAGATGTCAGAGCAGAAGCGGACGCCGTCAGAGTCGGAACTCGGCCAGAAAGAGTGGCTCTGGCCGCGGCCCGGGAAGGGGATAGGTGGAGCTAAGGCAGTCCCCGCTCTTGTCAGGAGCGCTGTCACCTGTGGGGGCGCAAAAGTTACCTCCCTATACCCTCAAGCAACACCGCACAACCTTACCCGAGTCAAAAAAAAAAAAAAATCATAATGTGTGCCACATAAGGTAGGAGGGTGGGTCCCGGTATCGCCCAAGCCTTCCAGACACTGCGAGTTGGGCAGGGGGCTGGGGCGGGGGCTTTAGGATCTAACACCTTCGCCCTACGCCCCTCTCTCCTCCGGGATGGGCCACGTGTTTCCCTCGGTCTGAGGGGGAGGGTGTAACGGGAACAGCTGGAGGGAGTTTAATGCTGACATTTTAAATCAGCGTGTGTTTTGTTTTGTTTGGAGAGGCAGGGGTCCCACGAATGCGAAAGAGTGAGCGACGCGTTGAGGGCAGCAAATGTCAAGATTCGGGGGGGAGGGGCCTCCGCCGGGAACTTGGACCTGAGCCCTGGAGGGGGTGGAAGGAGAGGTCAGGAGTTTGGGCTGGGTAGAGGACGTACTTCTCCAGCAACTTACTATTTCTTTTGCAACTTGCTTTTAAACYTGCCACCCCCTGCTTTCCTTAATCATAATTTTAAAAGTGCAAAGAAATTCAGCTCGCCGGAGGTTTTGCATTTGGCGTGCAACTTCCTTCGAGTGTGAGCGCACTGGAGGGAGGGAGGGGTGGGGGTTGAACTTGGCAGGCGGCGCCTTCTTCTGCCGCCGCCGCCGCCGCCGCCTTCTTACAGACTCGGGGAAGAGGGTGGGGGACGGACAGGGCGCGGGGGAGGGTGGGTTCTGCTTTGCAACTTCTCTCCGGGTGCGGGAGYGCGGCGGCTGCGGACCGGGCCGCCCAGACGATGCGGGGGTGGGGGACCTGCCGGCACGCGACTCCCGCCGGGTCCACAGTACGTAAGCGCTGACCCCCCTCCTCTGCTCTTCTCTACCTTAAGCCTCCCCAGAGGGCGTGTCGGGGGATCCGGCCCCGAGCGCGGCCGAATCGCCACTGCACGGTTTCCGTGCAACCCTGTACCCCCTTTGGAARTGACATACTTCGCGCAACTCGGCCGAGGGGCGGCGGTGCGCACCAACCCCGCGGCTCTGCCGCGGGCCGCGCCCCGGCGCCCCTAGCCCGCCCGCTGTCACCCGCAGGGGCGCTGGTGGCGCTTGCAGCAGAGGAACAGGGCGAGCTCCCCAGTGGGTCCCGAGCCACGGAGTTGGGCGGGGGCGGGAGGGTGGCAGCGAGAACAGTAACTAGAGAAACTCGGCTTCTCTAATAAGCTTGCCCCCAGAGAGACCAGGTTGGCCCCCGCCGCCTCACTTTCTTTTGCCTTGGGTGGGGGAGGAGAAGCCGCGCTCTGGGGCGGCAGACCTTCGCGGGGCCAAAGCCGGGGGCCGCCAGAGTGCAGGCGCCGTCGGGCCGCGGTGGCGGGGGCCGCGCGGAGGGCGTGGGGGCCAGGACTGCGGGCGCCCCTGCAGTTGCCGAGCGTCGCCAACAGGTTGCACCGTTCCCCGCRGCCGCCGCGCGGCCCCTCGGGCGGGGAGCGGCCGGGGGTGGAGTGGGAGCGCGTGTGTGTGCGAGTGTGTGCGCGCTGTGGCGCCGCCTCCGCCCGCCCCCCGCTCGGTCCCGCTCGCTTGCAGCGGCCGGGCGCCCTTTCGCGTGTCCGCGCTCCCTCCCTCTCCTCCATTTTGCGAGCTTTGAATCTGTGACTGGAGCCCGAGTCACCGCCCGCCCGTCGGGGACGCATTCTAGTGGGTGGAAGGAGACTCCGCAGCTGGAGCGACGGGGTGCCGGACAGAGGACGCGCGCGCCGGAGCCGGGAGCGAGCTGGGGGCAGGCTTGTCAGCCGGGAAATGGGAGACTTTCTGAAATAGGGGCTCTCCCCTCCCCCTATGGAGAAGGGGGCGGCTGTTTACTTCCTTTTTTAAGAAAAAAAATTCCCTTCTGCTCCTCCCGCTTTCACACGCTAAGTTGTTTATCTCGGCTGCGGTGGGAGCCGAGGACAGTGGCGGGTGAGCGGCGCCTCTGCCAGAGGTAAGAGGCGGGCGGGGTGGGGGCTGGGGCGGGTGCGGGCGCTTGCTCCCCCGAGGTGTCGCCCAGGGCCGGAGGCCGACCCGAGGGCCACCGGGGCAGCCTGCAAACTTTTATTAGCCTCGGGGAGTGGGGGTGGGGGCTGGCGAGGCCCGGTGTCGGTGACGGAAGGGCACCGCGCGGGTGACAGCGCTGGCCTCTTCCTCTCCCTCCACCGCCTGTCCCTGGCCCGGCCGAGAGGGAAGAACCTGAGCTCCGACTGCGAGCGGAACCTCGTCCAGCAGCCCGGGTTTTAAATCCTATCCTCCCACGCAGGTCCCCCTTTCTTTTCCCTCCAAGGGGTCCGCCCGTACTCCCATTTCCACGGGGAAGCCGCGTCTGGATTGTACTAGCCCAAATATTTCCTCTCCACCCTGGTGCTCCCGAGCACGCCCGGGGTATCTGTCGAGGCTCCAGCGCGCCTCGTTTCTGGCGGGCTTGCGGGGTGTGTGAGAGCGTACACACAGGGGGCTGACATCCTGCAACTTGGAGACTTCGGCCAGGGCCGGCGTTATCTGGCAGAAGTGGGCGTGTCGGAGAGGGAACTCAACAGGTCTGGACACACGTCTCTTAACCTCGCACCACCCCATCCCCCAAAGAACTTGTTTTTTTAGCTTTTGGCATCATTTCGAGCCCACTTTTCCAGGTGGCCCCTAACTGTAAGCGTTTTCGTGAAGATTTCTGACAAGTGCTAGTTTGACGTTTAGGGTTGCGGACTGGAAAACTGTATCCCTGTAAGACCACTTAAGACCCCTTGGTATATGGTTCATTAGGGACGATTAATGTGACAGGGTCATTTGCAGTTTAAACTGGGGGGTAATGTCGCTTGAGGGAAGCATTTCGTTTTATGAAGTATTGTTATGGTTTTGGGTTTGAAGGCAGCTGTCAAAAAAAGCAGCATGGAAATTCATTAGGCTCCATTTGATACCTTGTGTTTAGTGATCATTATCAGATAAAACAGCGAAGGGGAGGCAAACTGCGCAATTTACCTTGAAGATTTTTGTGATGGCAGGTCCCCACCCCTCTCTTCGTCACGCTCCCCTTTTCAGTGAGGGCCAGTGACGTTTAGGCTTCTTAGCGCCTTCATAAAGGAAAAGTTTCCTTTGATTGGACAGGATTTTACAATAATGTCCAAAATGTGCTTATCAAAGTCTTTGCCCCCTTTTAGAACATTTGAATTATATTTACTTGTAATAACAATCTAACCCGTGGAGAATAAGCTCAGACTTGGAATAGGTGAAAGTTTAGAATGCAGAGAAAATTATTCTGAGCATTTTATTGAATGCTATTTTACTTGGATTTATGTGAATGTAATTTTAGTTATGGGTTTTTCTGTTTTTCAGTACTTTGATAATTGGAAAGGAAAAATCTTAAAGATATAATAATATTTCATACTKAGGGTTTTAAGCAGTTTTTAAAAACGTACCTTAACTATTAGTCTAAATTAATGTAGATATTACTAGGAAGTATGATAAGGGTCAGACAGCTCTATTTGTCACATTTAAATAAGGTAAAATTGTAGTGAGAAGCTGAAATGTAAATTTTAGTTGACCATATACATTTAAGTCATACATCTAAAAATCTGGAAAAACTAAAATATAATTTGGAGATACGAAATATTAGACCAGGCACATCTGGTCAGAAATTTGGGTTAAAAATAGGAGCCTTTTCCCAACCTGTTAAAAGAGCAATTCAGTCTTGTTTATTTCTCAAATAAAACATGATGAACCAGTAGGTTATAATAAAAGTTTTGGATGTGTGAGTAGTTGGTAGGAGATGAACTTGGGAATAATATAGGAATAGAGAATTCTAGTGTAGTATTTATCGGATGTTATATATATTGACTCTCAGAAAAGCAAACAGCCTTGATTGAAAAGAGGTAGGAATTTTAATGATCATACTTTTTTTGAAATTAAATACTTTGACATCAACTTGAACCTTTAGAATAATCAGATGTAATGAATTATAATATCTGTGATTAACAAAGCTACACGTTCTTCAGTGAGTGATAGGATGAATAGCCAAGCTTAATTTGATACAATTTTGTCCTCAGCTGTGCAAATGAATGGCATTGTACTTTAAAATGTGGCACACTGAATGGGAGCAGGGGATATGGCTTTTTATTCTGAAACACATGAAACTACTCTGATAACAAAGAATTTGATCAGTTAACTAAAAGCTTCATTTATCAGGCCATCTCTTACTAATCAAATCACAGAAAGAATGTAACTTTACAGCTTGTTATGTTTTCCATCTTTTTTTTTGTAGCTGATATTCGCCGATGGACTCCAAAGAATCATTAACACCCCCTAACAGAGAAGAAGTCCCCAGCAGTGTACTTGGTTCAGAGAGGGGAAATGTGATGGACTTCTATAAAACGCTAAGGGGAGGAGCTACTGTGAAGGTTTCTGCATCTTTGACTTCACTGGCTGCAGCTTCTCAGTCAGACTCCAAGCAGCAAAGACTTTTGGTTGATTTTTCAAAAGGCTCTGTAAGCCATGCCCAACAGCCAGATCTGTCCAAAGCAGTTTCACTCTCCATGGGACTGTACATGGGAGAGACAGAAACAAAAATGATGGGAAATGACCTGGGATTCCCACAGCAGGGCCAAATCAGCCTTTCCTCTGGGGAAACAGACTTTCGGCTTCTGGAAGAAAGTATTGCAAACCTCAATAGGTCGACTAGTGTTCCAGAGAACACTAAGAGTTCAGCATCTGCTGTGTCTGCTGCCCCCACGGAGAAGGAGTTTCCTAAAACTCACTCTGATGTGTCTTCAGAACAGCAAAATCTAAAGGGCCAGACTGGTACCAACGGAGGCAATGTGAAGCTGTATACCACAGACCAAAGCACTTTTGACATTTTACAGGATTTGGAGTTTTCTTCTGGGTCCCCAAGTAAAGAGATGAATGAGAGTCCTTGGAGATCAGACCTGTTGATAGATGAAAATTGTTTGCTTTCTCCTTTGGCAGAAGAGGATGATCCATTCCCTTTAGAAGGAAACTCAAATGAAGACTGCAAGCCTCTCATTTTACCGGACACTAAACCTAAAATTAAGGATAATGGAGATCTGATCTTATCAGGCCCCAACAGTGCACCACTGCCCCAAGTGAAAACAGAAAAAGAAGATTTCATTGAACTCTGTACCCCTGGGGTAATTAAGCAAGAGAAACTGGGCCCAGTTTACTGTCAGGCAAGCTTTTCTGGGGCAAATATAATTGGTAATAAAATGTCTGCCATTTCTGTTCATGGTGTGAGTACCTCTGGAGGACAGATGTACCACTATGACATGAATACAGCATCCCTTTCTCAACAACAGGATCAGAAGCCTATTTTTAATGTCATTCCACCAATTCCTGTTGGTTCAGAAAATTGGAATAGATGCCAAGGATCTGGAGATGATAACCTGACTTCCTTGGGGACTATGAACTTCCCTAGTCGTTCAGTTTTTTCTAATGGATATTCAAGGTAAGATTACTGTTTTGCTGGTTTTTTTTTGGTTTGTGTGTTTTGTTTTTGTTGTTTTGTTTTACTGGATTTTTGTGGGGATTGAACTCAGCGCCTTTGCATGGTAGGCTCTATCACTGAGCTACAKTCCCAGCCAGATTAACACTTTTCTATTTTCTAAGAATGGTATGTTTAAGAGAAGTTGGTAGATTTTAAAAAATCACTTGTTGGTTATATGTTCTCCAGAAATTCATGTTTTGCCTATGAATAAGTGATCTTTTGAAAATAGGCATGGTATACAGCCTAAGTAATTCAGACATAAACATTTTAGGTTTTTTATTAAATAGTGATACTCAGTGTCACATGGGCCAGTATTGAAAATTTTAAAATAATATTGCTCAGTAACAAGTATCTTCAGTAAAAATTCAAGGGGGTGTGACGTCTGGTAATATAATTATTGTGYATGTTGATTCAGCTGTTTTAGAGTATGCTCTTAAAATACCGTTAATACTTACATAATCAAAAGTTGTGCTGCTATATTTGTACTTTTGTGAAGTATTTTGAGATTAAAGGCTTAAAATTAGTACTAAAAATGAGTCTTGTTCTTCAAACTGAACCTTTCTGTTGAAGAATGAGAATTTGAAATTGTTAAAGCAATGCATTTATACAGTGTGCCAGACCATAGTATTTTTTAGATATGGGTCTTGTTCATAGGGTTCCTGACCTAAAGTAGACAAGTTGTTTCTGCTGATAAATTTAAGAAAGGAATTGGTTGCAGCATGCAAAACAAATTTTTATTTTTAAATGTCCCTTCAAGTTCTCAAGCAGATAACTGATAGCTAGGAACTGAAACTTAACAATTTTGGCTATCATTTGATTTCTCTCTTTTTCTTAGTCACTTTTAAGTACACCGATTTACCTTAAAAAGGTCCATCAAAATGGAATTACTGAAAAAAGTTCTAAATTTAAATGTATGTGTAGGTAAAGTTCTCTATCCTGTACCCCATCCTCAAGTCACATAAATACTAGATTGTATTTCCATTCTAGGTGTGAAGGAAAATGTAGATTGTAGTGACAAGATTGATCACTTTTTTTTAAGACAGTAGACTTTAAAAATTTATACATAATCATTTCAAGTTTTTTCTTAAATGTGATGTTTATTGTTCTGATTAACTAGTCATTGAGGATTTTAAAAGTCTTAGAAATTCTTTTGCTGAGCAAGTTATCCTTGCATTGAGAAACAAAGAGTATCTCTTTTTCTCTTTATGTAGGAAGCTTTTCTTATTAGGGAAAAAATTTAGATTTCAGCTGTTCTATTTTCCTTAAAGGCTTAGGAGTTTCTTTCTTTCTTTCTTCTTTTGAATCAAGAGGGGAAAAACCACTTTGCTTCTGTATCTTAACTCAAACTACTACCTAGTAATCCATTATTCAATAGTTATCTTTTGTTAAGATGAACACTACTTCACCTTTTTAATTGTTGTCTTTATGACTTGAAAGTTTTCAGTGTTTCCAGTAAGATTTGATTCTTGCATATACTTTTGCTTCAAATATTAAGACATGCTGTTTAAAACTTCAATCTCAAATTTTTGAAAGTGAATTTTATGTGCCTGATTTTCTTAGAAGAGTAAGCACAGCTAATTTGACTAAGCTATCTGTAGGAAGCTATTAAATAGATTTATAAAACATGTAATTATACAAAGAAAAATAATACATTTAGGAAATTCTTTGTCCTGATAATCATCATAGAATTGTTTTCATTTTCTTCCTATAAGGGCGGGGGGGAACCACATGGAACAAAACTTAAATTTCCATTCACTGAAATTTCATTATGCCTTATACAATCTGGGATATGCAGAATAATTGTTAGCTGAACATAGGTTACCCTTAAATMATTAAAAATAATTTTGATACTTTAACGTTTATAGTACTTAATGACATATAAAGTGTCTCCACATTTTTTAAATTTGAGCCTCAATAATAACTCTAGAGAGGTAGGCTGGGCTATGACGATGTGGCAGTTTATAAGTTCTTTAATACCTGGTGAAATTATCATTTTTATGCTGATGTGTTATTTGGAATTATAATCACTAGTCTATGTCCTAACAAAAAGACAAAAACCGTTAATACAGGATTAACTGGTAATGTTAGAAAATTTATACTTTATAACATTAATTTAGCACTGGGAATTTAGGATTACTCAAAACAAAGCTTCACCCAAGTAGATTGAAACAGTGTTTCTTTTTCTACCCATCATTGAATTAGTCTATTGTTTCTGAACAACAGCCATGATATAACTCAAATTGYCTGTTTTCTCTATATATTACATGTCTCTAGCCAAACATTAGCTATGACCAGTAACCCTGAGTGGTCAGCAACTAAATCAACATGTTGAAGCCACAACTTGATGGAATACTGACATTCTGACTTTAGATATAATAATATTAAATACTGTTGATAATTTCACTTGCATTCTTTCTAGTTTAAAAAAAAAGAAAACATTATAATTTGACTTCTTTAACTGCTACCTAAATTGCTTTTCTTCAGAATGTTAACAAATGCCTTACATTCTGTTTGGGGGAGAAGGCAAATCCTTCAGGTATGTCAGTGCATGGTAACATGTAGTTAGCATATTAAATAAAATTACAAATATCGTGATTGAGCATAGAAAAACATTTTCTTTTTAAGGTTAAGAGTCATTGATAATAACATTAGAGAAATGTTAACTGATGATTAGATTCATTCTTAAGTAAAAGGAGTTAGCCCTTCTAATGTGATATGCTTTTTTTTTTTTTTAAAAAAAGCATAAACATAACAATGATGAAGGCACATTTCTGCATAGTATTTTTTTCAACATTTTTTTTTTTACCTCAGCATTAATGGTGAAATTGCTGGAATAAAAGCAGAGAAATAAGTTGCTTTAGGAATGATAGCTTTTATATTGGGGTGATGTTGAAATGTTAGACCATTTCTTGAAGAGTGGGATTGTTAGAGAGAATGATGCAGGATGAACTTGTAGATTCAGTTTTAGTCTAGGGCTCTGAAGATTGGCACTTAATGAAGCTACTAAAATTTATATAAATTGGAATGTCTCTCATTAATCATATCAGTCTAATTTTATAAAAGTAATTAAATTGAAGACCTGTACAAACACAGGATGAGTGAGGCAAATCCTGACCCATTCTCATTTTTCTTATTAACGTCAATCAAAGGTTTTATGAAAAAGGGAGGACTATAATTCAACTTTCCAAAGGTTGTGAAAAATGGATGTTTCAATGTCTTTTATTTGCTTAGTGTTTTTGATATTCATTCATATAAAGTACTTTCTAAAAGTTATCTGGTTTAGGGTGCTTACTTATTTTTATTGTTAGCTTTATGGTAGCTTTTTTTCTTTGTAAAAAATCTATACCTTGTCATGGCTGTACAATTGATTTTAAAGCACATTATGTATTCAGGTATGTCAGTTAATAGTGRAATGGCCAATACAGAAACATGTAATGAGCAATTATTTAGATTTTATTGAAATTACTTCTTGTGATGTTTCTCTGGTTATTCTCTGTATATTTTTATAAGAACATTAATTTGTATTTCTAATGCTGTCTTGTTACAGATATTTTAATTTGGTTACTTTCAGTATATTATTAAATGTTTATAAGTTTTGTGATATTTTGACATACACCTTGCATAAATGTAGAGTAAATGTAAATTGTATTAAAGTAAAATTTACATGTGATTAAAGATCACTTTATGGGCTTTTGATATTTTAGTGAAGGACAGAAGGAGAAATTAGAGAAAAATGGTTTATTTTAGCATGAGTGCCTAATATATGAAAGAATATCTGCATTAATTTGTTATAGTTATATATGTCTTAGTCCACTCAGACCTGGAGGCRATTGAAATATCCTGGATGTGTTATGAAATCTTAATTTTTATTACATTTAGAATAGGTCTGGGTCATGATTTTTAAAAACTTATTTTCTTCAGTGATTATACCTASTTTTAATYAGTAGTGAGTTCTTGTGTTGTACTGTGAGTGATTTAAGTAGACAAAATAGGCTTTTATTGAATAGTATTACTTCTGAGGCTATCTTGGTAATATTTTCATCAAAAATAATTGTGTAATGCAGTACTGTTTACCAAATTAATGGGCACTTGGTTCCATATTTCTGTGTCATGCAAAATATATATTGGTGAATCCTGGTGCACAAAGAKTTTTCAAGAAATATTTTGTTGAATTAAGCTAAAACTGAAAATCAACTATTTATTGACCTCTACAAAAGGGTTTTAAAACCCATATGTTATTTCTTCAGCTTCAGAAAACCAACTGAGGAGAATTTTGATATTTTAAAAGGATTCATTAAGTGTTCCCTTCCCTTTGAATCACCTGTGCCTAACTAAATTAGGATGTAACTTGTAATGTTGATAGTTTTTTCATTTTACATATTTTAATTGATAACATCTCAAAATTAGTTGTAGACAGGTAGTTTCAACCTTTCCCCCCACCCCCAGTAGGGAAGGGGCAAAGGAGGAGAAGCAACAGAGGCATGGAATAGTGGAGATAAGTAAAGAAATATCAAGAACAGTTCTGAAAACCACCAATTTGGATATACTGTTATGAATTTAGAGGTTTAAGAACAGTAATTTGGGGCAGGTGCAGTGGCCCATGCCTGTAATCCTAGTGGCTTGGGAAGCTGAGGCACAGGATCACAAATTCAAAGCCAGCCTCAGCAATTTAGCAAGACCCTATCTCAAAATAAAAAAATAAAAGGCTGGGGATTTGGCTCAGGGGTTGAGAGCCCCTGGGTTCAATCTCTGGTTATCTCCTCTATCCCCCTGCCTGCAAAAAAAAAAAAAAAGAGAGAGAGAGAGAGAGAGAGAGAGAGAGTAATAAGAGTAATTTAGGGCTGTGCTTATAACGGGAATGTAACAACTAGAATTACAATTATTTCTTTTATAAAGTGGAAATGTAAAGCTAATTGTGGCAATATAGCCCTTGTTGTTTATGAAGTTATTTTGTTCTTCTT